CAATATCACATCATCATCAGTATGTGATATTGAAAAAGTTTTGTATTTGCACTGTGCACTTTTGTTGGTATGCACTGAGCGTCCGAATATACTTTTTGAATATTATTTTATTTATTTATTTATCTTTTCCCTCTGAGGACATTGTGTGTGGGCTACTAAAATGTATCTTACTTGTTTTCCTACAAGTGGTTGGTCTCCTGCTGTGTCTGATTGAACATGAGCCTGTTTATTACAGTCATGTGTCTGTGCGTAGCACATGTGCATTGTACGTATGCATCTGCTTGTATGGCTTAACTGATGAGAGAGCATCACACCCCATTAACACCTAAATGATCTTGTTAAAGTCATTATCCTGGCCTAAAGCTCCTGTATTTTAGCTATGCTTTAGAACATAGTGCATTGTGTAGCGCTGGAGGTCGACACAATGGATAAACGAAGTGATGGCGTGCTGCCTCTCCTTGCTGAAGGTGACATAAATAACAGATTTCGGAGACTAGAAATAAACTGAAGTGACAGACAATATGATGAAATGGCCCGTAAAACAGCAACATTTGCTTCACATCTCCTTTGGTTTTCAGAACGAATTCCAATTGTGCCTACAGCACTCTTTTCAAGCCATCGCCCACCCCGCAAAGTGAAACCCAGATACGTTTGTTCATCTGCTGTCACCCCCCAATCAAATCTGACTCATTCTCCCTGGACTACTTGGAAGCACCCACTTTGGCTAAAAGGTCATAAGTACTCAGCAAGCCATTTACCTCATTAGCTGTAAGCATGGGCTATTGATAAAAGGAAGCTGCAGCGGCAGTGTATAAATGCATCACAATTGGCTCACAGTCTCTCGTCTAGTTCGTCTAACCTTACACCTCGGCATTAAAGAGCTCTGGCTGAGGACAAATAAAAGGATTAACCTCCACAAACTACTTTGTGTGAATCAATGCACCATGACCACCACAAAATACTTCTGTATATCACTGATTAGTGCATGACTTCTGACTGATGAACAAGAAGAATATTGATAAATATGGGGTCCAAAAATCAGAGATGGCTTTGAGACTCTGACATTCCACATACAATTTAAAGGGATAGTTCACCCAAAAATTAAAATTCTGTCATTTACTCAACCTCATGTCATTCCAAACCCATTTGATGCAATACACAAATTAAGATATTTTTAATTAAACCTATGAGTTTGGAATGATATGAGGGTGAGTAAATGATGGCAATTGTCTTTTTGTTTTTTTTGTTTTTTTAAGTAAAAATTTGATGGACAGCAAATATAATCTAAATGTAAAAAAGTGCAATAAACATTAACAATTATCCAGTATGTGAGGAATAATTGAAAACGGGCTGTTGAATTATTAGAAAAATAACTGCGCACACACTCGAGGTGGTAATGGTTATATAAACTGAAAAGAATGCCAGTGACCCTATTATGCTGCTTAACTAGACTATCCACCAAGACTTCTTTAGTTGACCAGCTACACCAGAAAGACCACCCTGGTCAACTAGTTTCACTCGTTATGTTTCACTGTTCAACAGGATTGCTATGCGGTCCACCAGATAGACAAGGACCAAACCAGCACTAATCACAACTACAAAAGTAAAGTTCAAGGCAAACTTTGAAGGTTGGACTGGCAGCCTTGCCTAGAAGTTTTAAAAAGTCTGAAGTCTGAATGTCAAATGAGCCTTTGAATACTTTGTCAGTTTGAAGAGGGATCAGATGTTTGATGAGACGTAGGCCTTGTCGTGTGGTTGTGAATGTGTTCTGAGCAGTTGCCAGACATTTGTTGGGGTATTTCCAGTTTCTAGAAAAATGTAATAAATCAACATGCTTCTGATTTCAACAGAACTGCCTAACTAAAACAGAAAAGCTGCACAGTTGAACTGCAATTGACTCCAACACACCATTATAAAAAAAAAGTTTTCCCTGCTACCATGCCACTACATTATTAAAATAAATAAATAAATAAAACCCTGGTACCGTTATTTAAAGAGGCTGATATCGACTGACCCAGGCTGTCTAACCTCTCCATGATCCAGTTGTCTTTGGTAGACATACTCACTTAACTAATAGAGGAGCCGGAGGGGATTCTTAGCAGGCAGAAAACTAATGGATTGTGTGAACGTTGGCTTGCGTACACTCTGTGCGGATGATTAAGATCAAATAAAGCATCTCTCATGACACAATCAGATGATTATGTTAGCTCAACAATGAGCTGTGTAGGAATATGTCTCTACCCCACAGTTACAGCTCATGCATAAAGATGGACGAAGCAACGTGCTGGAAATTCCATCAATGAGGACAAACAAAATGTTCCTGGAGTGCAAAAAATGAGGCTGTCTCGCAAAGGGCATCAGCAGCTTTCCATCTCCATCAAAAGAGGTTAAATAATCAGCGGATGCTACTGAGGTGCAAAAACCCTTGTTTGACCTTTGGATTGGGGTCAATGATGCTCACTGTACGTTCATATCTATAACCTGGTGTTGTATTTGAACACGCTGGGTTCAGAGGGAGCACATGCTTCTTCTGACATGATTTGAGCAATTACTATAAAAACACTGGGAATTACATAACAGTGAAGTGTGTGAATTCTGCGCTGCTAGCGGCACAAAACAGAATTACAATCTGTTTATTTGAGCGAACCAACTGGACTGGACATAACAACCCTGACTCAACCATGGCAGGTTGGGGGATGGGCATTGGAAATATGTTTGTGTTTGTGCAATTGTGGTTGATGGTATTATTGAACCACATCGATTTGTACTTCACTGGATATGATGAATTGTTGAAATATCTTTAAGGTGCAACATGAAATTTGGGTAACACTTTAGTTCAGGGACCAATTCTCACTACTAACTAGTTGCTTATTAGCATGCATATTACTAGCATATTGGCTGTTTATTAGTGCTTTTTAATGTCTTATTCTGCATGAGCATATTTTAGATTCCTTAACCCTACACTGTAAAAAATTCTTGTGATTTTAACAGTAAAAGACTGTAAAAATGCTACAGTAAAACCCTGTTAACTGGTTAACAGTAAGTTTCCATACTATATACGGTGAATAAATGTAATTACATTTAATGTAATTTCACAGTAAAATACTGTTAAAAATATGGTTTTTGGAAGTGAAAAAGAAAAAGTCATTGTATAATTTACAGTGAAAAACCGCAAATTGACACTCCCAGAATTCCCTGCATGACACTTCATATTTGATGTTTTTTTTGTTGAAATTTTTTTACAGTGTACCCCATAGCTAAATTTAACAACTAACTCTTCATAAGCAGCAAATTAGGAGTTTATTGAGGTAAAAGTCATAGTTAATATTTAGTTAATAGTGAGAATTGGTCCCTAAACTAAAGTGTGATTCATTCATTCATTCATTCATTCATTTGATTATCCTGGTGGGTGAAACAGAAAATAGAAGCATATATAGTGATTTTTCATTCATTTGATTAAAATAAAATAAATAAATAAATAATATATACTGTATGTATAACGTTGTTTTGATGACTTTTCCAACTCTACAAATCACATATTAACATTACCTGATATGTCCATGCTTTGCCTGAATATTTGACCAAAACACAGGTTTGAAAAAAAGAGAAACAGAGGGGGAAGTTGAAAAAAGGAGAAAGGTCTCGGGTTGACAGCAAATGTGGGAATGAGTGGCACTTGTCACCACTCAGGCTCTCTAATCTGTCACTGAGAAACAAAGACCTAGGCGCTGCTCTTTTGAAGGCCTCTGTCCCCGTCTGTCTCTCTCTGTGTAAGCAAATGGGAGCACCAGATGGTTTTTCCAAACCCAATGAATATTGGCTGGGTACTGGCAGTGTGTCAGAGTAGAACTATACATGTAACAAAGGCCTAATCAATTAACTCTCAAGATCGCAAAAAACAAAAGGAATACTGTCTCTGATAAGGAGGCTGCTGCTAATTTCTGTAGACAAAGCAGTGCTTAATCAAATTAACACGCGTCAATACTTTGAATTGAAAACTGCAGGAAAAAAGGCTAATTCAAGGTTCTAAAATCAATAAACTACCAACCAATCTGTGGAGGGGGAAAAAAATAATAATAATAATGGTAACACTTTATTTTAGGGTCTCTTACCTAGTTAATTATTAGCATGCATATTACTAGAATATTAGTCATTTATTAGTACTAATTAAGCACATTTTAATGCCATATTCTACATGACCTTACTCTATATCCCTAATCCTACCCAATACCTAAACTTAACAACTACCTTACTAACTATTAATAAGCAGCAAATTAGGAATATATTGAGGGAAAAGTCTTAGTGAACTTAGTGAATAAGTGTTCCCTATTCTAAAGTGTTACCATACTAGTATAACTACTACTACTAACAATAATACTAATACTACTACTACTACTAATAATAATAATAAAGCAATAATTACAACTTTCCAGATTTGGTGGGCATTATTAAAATGGGAAGAAAGTATGCCATTGTATGAATAATGAATCATGGTAATGGAACAGGAAAAATGTTTATGAATTAAATATTCATAATGTCTATTTTTTAAATAATCCAGTGAATTAAATACTCGAAAAACAAAAGGAACACATGTCAGTTGTGTCAGTTGAAATGTATGTTAAAGGTATAGCTCACCCAAAAATGACAATTTTGTCAACTTTTACTCACCCTCATGTCGTTCCAAACCTGTATGAGTTTCTTTTTTTATGTTAAACAAAAAAGAAGATATTTTGAAGAATGCTGTTAACCAGACAGTTGATGGTCCCCATTGACTTCCATAGTATTTATTTTCCTAGTATGGAAGTAAATGGGGACCAATAACTGTTTGGTTTTTCAAAATTCTGGTTTTGGAACGACATGAGGGTGAGTAAATGATGACCAAATTTTCATTTTTGGGTGAACTATTCCTTTAATGAGTTGCCTCATTGCTCAAAAAATCTTTTAAACTTCCATTTAACACTTAATGCCTCTGTACGGAAGCTGAATTTTTCAGGTCCTACCTTTACACGTAGGCAGAGCTTTGTCCCATACAGGTTTCCCATCAGTCCCCATGATGCAGGTGAGAGTAGGTGGTCCCGCAATGGTGTAACCAGAATCACACTGGTATGTCACAGTTGATCCCAGCTTGTAGTCCATTCCCAGTCGAGTTCCGTTCATTATGTTCCCTGGGTCGAAGCATGCTTCTCGTGGCTTTTCTGTAAAATAATAATAATAATAATAAAGTTTTAAAATTGCACAAATGATGTATGAAGCACATACAATTTATTTCAACTAATGGATGCCCCGTTCTGTCTCTGACATAGTCCACATGTCATTTCTGACAATAAGACAAATTGATTTTGAATGTTTGCTTTGTCCACAGATGTCTCCGGGGAAGTGTTAGAATGTTGCAGACTGCAGTTATAGGTTTCAGCTTGTCTCACCGTGAATCTTTAACAACTGCCACCTTCCAGCATCCCCAAAGTTCTCTAAACACGCCTGTCCATAAATGCTGATGTCAGTAATTTGATCACGTGATTTTTAATTGATTGACAGCCCTTGTACCTGTAATTCAACAGACCCTGAACAAAATTAATCAGATGCACAATCGTATCCCGCATTTGCGTTCCATGCTGGCCATTTCAAGAGCTGAGACAGGTAACAGACAGAAGGAAAAAGCGAGATCGACAGTGAGTGTGAAGAGGGAGCAGACAGTTGCTTGAGGGCATCGGGCATTAAAGCGAACTAACACCAGGGGAAAGGCAGGTGAATGTGCTGGGGCAGCAGAAGATGGTCTCTGTCCTTCTGGCACCCGACACAGGGAGAAGGACAGTTAGAGAAAGCTCCGGAGGTGGTGCTTGGAGAGGCTGCCAAACAACTTGACAGTTAAACAGCTATCTGCCGAGCCTTAGGGACCTGAGAAAGTGGGAAGGAGGAGGGGAAGATTCTATCTGCAAAATTGCAAGTGTGCAACACAATCTTCCTCGTTTCTACAACAACAGAGGAACAGTGAGTGCACCTGGAGTGCACCACACAGACTAAAAGGAACAGGCCCTAAAATTAATATTCTGTCATCATTTGTAGCACACATGCTCACCCTGACATGCATATCCATCATGAGATTGTCCACTTTCACTGCCACCACCATATATATCAGATTTATTAACTCCTTATTACCAGGCCCAAATGAGATGTGTGGACATTCTTTTTTTTCTGAATTGAATTTTGCAAAATGAAATTAAATGTGATTAAAAATAAAATGTGTCAAGATTACCAGCCACATATTAAAGGGTACAGTTCACCCAAAACTGACCACATTTTTATCATTCATTATAACATTTATTCATTAAAAAAAAGAAAAAAAAGGAGTTTGGTTAGGAAGATTGTGGGTCCATAAATTAGAAATGAATCATAAATGAAACTAATACAACGACATTCATACCTCTGTACATGTTTTTAAGGGCCACTAAAATGTATATTTTATATTAAGGGCCACTATATTTATATTTCTCGGTTTATCAATCTGTTCTGTTACTTCTGTGTGTTGCTCGTCAACCACGTTCCTTTGTTGGAACCACAACTGTTTCTGAGGAACTACACTGTTTGGTGGAAGAATACTGTTTTTATTAATATCATTACTTTATTTGCTCTGTTTTATTCTGTGAAACCTTACATAACCTTACGTATATGGAATAACCATTTTATAAAAGCAGTAAGCCTCGTGAAGCCGTGGTTTACAGTGAATTTATAACAGCTCCGCTTCGCGTCGTGCCTAACAATGCCCCTTAGCTGTTATAAATTCACTGTAAACCACGGCTTCTTGGGGCTTATTGCTTTAATTTGTTGTTTCTAATATTGGGATGATGATATCTTGAGCTACAGATGGCACACACAGCCAGAAACAAAACTTATGTCTCACTAATGAGCTAGACTTTCGGAAGAAATTACACACTTCACCTTTAAACTGAAGTCAGAAGAAGAAATGCAATGAAACACTATCAATAATATAATCAATACAGCAAAATTGGGTCTTCCACCAGGATTTCAATCACTGCCGTGACGTGAAGCAAAGAGTTTCTTATCAGGGTAGTGGACACAAAACACTACCACAAGAGACTACTCCTTTCACGGTAAAAATCAAACTCCCATGCGTCACTCAGTTTCCCGATAAACACAGGGCAAACCTAATGCCACGACATGAAAGTGAAATACTGAAGCATTGTGGGATGTTGAGACCATCAACAAAGCAATGTAATACATTGGCAAGCAAGCTTTTAAAATGTACTGGGTTTATGTGGAACAAAGACAAAAGGTCAAAGTCAGAGTTCATCTACACTGTGCAATAGGCTGCAATTAAAATAATTGCAATTAAAATATTCAACAATCCATGAACTACACATTTACTCAGCCATAATCATCATATAAAAAGTGCAGCTAGAAGTGGAAATGATTTCAGAGAGGTGCATAGCATGTTAGAGACGGTGCATTGTCAACATCGCATGCCCTGATTTTCAAAATACAAACTCACATTCTTTTTAAAAATTAAAAAAAGCATTTACAAAGAGCAACTGGCAAAACCTGCTCTTCCCATGGGGAACAGTGCCAGGTATTCACTGTGAAAGGTTAATAGTATTACTCAAGGAAGCGCAACATATAACTCAATACCACTTAAGAGCTTTTTTTGATTAATCACAGGAAAGTTGCACCCTTGCGAATCATTTAACATATGCTCTTTCACTAATGCATGAATTTAGTACTCCAGGGGTGTGTTTCCCGTACAGCAAAGTCACTCACTGATTAACTACCACAGTGTGATGCATCGTTGTTGAAACTAACTAGCTAGTCATAACTGTTTCCTGAACATGGTCGCATCTCAGTCGATTGAACCACATTGGTTCAACAGTATAGGGCCATTGTTAACGAGGTCATGTGCTTGTGGTGGAGTGATAACTTCTGCTAATTAACCGATTTGAGAACTCTGAGATGCTACTGTATTAAACATGCCACCTGATGACTACTTCAGTGTTTTTTGTTCCCTGTTATTTTGCTGTAATTGATGTTTGATTCATTGCGGGTTCTCTCTTACATAATACTCTGATGTTCCCTTGTGTATTTATGCACGTATAAAAATGTGCTGACTGTTGATATGCTAAAATATGCAGATTGAAATGTATATTTAACTGGAATGAAAGATACAGAATGTACTGCATGCTAGCTTGCGACCATAGCTGGT